TTTCTTTTGAAATGAGCAGAATTCATGTTTAGGATTTTGGGATGCTTGTTAGAAGAAGATTTAATTATAAATGAGATGGTTTTTACTTGCACTTCATTTACATTATAACAAGGGCCCGTTGTAGTGTTAAAAATTTGTTGTAATTTCATTGATCCGAAAGGGCGGTGTAATTCTTAAAAAAGTGGAACCACATTCAAATTCTATGGATAGTGACATTCATGGGAGTTGAGTGCAAATAAATAGGGAAATATACTTTGATGGGCATAGAATTGAAGATTTTAGTGGGTGCTGAAGTGTAGAAGTTAGCTCTCAGGCGAGGGGAACGTGGGAGTTCCAAAGTGAAAGTCGGTATCCTCCCAGCCTAGCTGCAGATTCAGTAAACTAGCGTAGGATTAGTCAATGTTCTTTATGTTTGGACCAAAGGGTAAAAAATATGTATGCTCCTATTTGACACAATACAATTTGAAATGATTCACTTTATTCATTCACTATAATTTCTTGACAAGGAGAATGATACTTTCTCATTTATTGAATTTCACATTAAAAACTTTATTAGTATAATTAGTTATTTAAGAGTTATTAAAATTACATATTCATTTTCAATTGTCTATTAGTGATAGATAAACAATTTGAATTATATTGTTGTGATTAAGTATTGATTTTCTAAAATCTTAGTTCGTAGTTCTAATATTACTAATTTGACTAAGGACCTCTTACCTCGCTTCCCTGTGGGATCGATAAATGGGACTCCACTAGAGCCCTGTATTGCTTGAGCGATATGTATACTTGCGTTTGAAATTATGACTTTACAAAATCATTATAAATATATAAATCTGGTTTCATAAATTCTTACATATTAAAAGTTGCATCAAGTTTTTGACGCCGTTACCGGGGATTTAAATCTTCTAGTAGTGGTGTCAAATTCTTATATTTTTAGGTATATAAAAAGGTCACATCAAGTTTTTGGCGTCGTTGCCGAGGATTTAAATCTTCTAGTAGTAATGTCAAACTCTTGTATTTTTAGGTATATAAAAAAGTCGCATCATCTGCATGTGGAAATGAATTGTAGAAACTTAATTGAGAAATTAATATAACTATTACTCACTTCAAGAATTCCTGTAATGTTGCAATATAAGAACTTGTTGAATTTCTTTTACCTTCGTTGAATGAACTTTACGGTGCAGGGGTTTTAAGATGTTGCATATGAAAGCAAACAAATAGAGTTATATTATTTTATAGCAATGTGCAGGAAGGGCAGGGCTATGGTGGTTTTGTTTGTAGTGGATAAACTGATTAAGGCTAATTGGTTTTATTTCTAAATATATTTGTGTAATATTTATGTTTTTCATGTGGTGTAGGAAAGGGCTTATGCATGATGAAGTTTGACAGAGAAGTATTTAGTTTTTTTTAAAAAAATTTAATGTGGCAAGAATTAGCTTAAATGAGGTAATATTTGTGATCAAATTGTAACTATCATTAATTGTTCTTCCATCCGTGTTGCTTTTCTCT